TATATATATATATATATATATATATATATATATATATATATTATATAAAAGGAACATAACCATATTTTTTAATATAATTAACAGTGTTATCAAAATATAAGTTTTTAAAAATAATTATATTTAAAATGTATAAAGTAAAAAGTAATATAAAAGTCATATTTTAGATATCATTTTAGATATTATTTTTCAAAGTCATTTTTTAAATTCTTTCAATGCAGCTGCAAGATTATTTATTGCATCTATTTTATTTCGTTCTATTTCCTTTTTTTCTTCCCACCTAATTTTTTTAAATTGTTGCAGTTTATCTTCACGAGATCTCTTATTATTAAGTTTTTGTTTGCTAGATGGACTATTATCAAATATTGTATTGATAGGTGAATTCAATTTCATCGAAGCATTGTGTTGTATCACTATCACTTAGAAGATCAGCATTATGAACCGCTAATAGACTTTTATCAGTAATATTACAAATTGTTGCAGAATAGATTGGATTTCTTGGGATGTAAAATGTAGATCCCAAGGTTTCTGGTAATGGGCAGACATTTTTTTTGCGACCAAGGACTGCATGAATTAATCCAAAATATTCCCAAGTAATTGCACTTTCTCCAGACTTCTTCATCTTATCCACATTTCTGTTATATGTCACCAAAAGATTTTTCCATTTTGCTTGCAAATCAGCAGCAGAATGCATATATCCATGTTTTTTAAATTCTACATTTATTTTTTCCCAATATTTAGTCTTTTTGCATTTTGAATCTCTAAAAAGGTCATCAAATGCAAGTCTTCTGCAGGTGACCAATTATTCAGTATATTATCTGTAAAAATCCATGTACGATTAAACATAATAATATTAATTTTGATTAAATAAACAATAATTTCTAGAAACGCCAATTATTATTACCTGACTTTCTTTTGGCAGTATGAAATTCAAAAGATGACTCTTGGAATATCTTAGCAGAAGGAAAAGGATTTGAACTCGCCGAAGTATCAAAATTATTTGCAATGTATTCTGAAAACATGAATATTATATCTCAATGCATCAAAACATTATATATTTTACATATAAATGTATAATTCTTATAATATTTCATGAATCGAATAACACAATTAAGAAAGTACATTCACCAGCCAAAAATGATAATAAAATCGACGTCGAATCAACCACGAATTGACGTTGAAATCATGAAATTGGCGTCAAATCGGTATCGATTCGACGTTGATTCCATTATTATTTCTGACTGGGTTGTCAACACTCAAAGCAAAACAAATCGATTGAGTTTATTTTTAAGCTTCCATAACCTGAAATTATAAATTAAATCTAAAACCATTATAAATACCCAGATAGCATAAAGAATTCAAAAAGAATTAAAAAAGAATTTAGTCGTATGTCACTAATTCTGAGTTTATTTCCAGATGCAAAAAGAATTTTTTATAGTTCAGTCCAGTGAAAAGAATTCTTTTTGCATCTAAAAATGAACTCAGAATTGGTGACATACGACTGAATTCTTTTTTAATTCTCTGTGCTATCTAGGTATATATACCTGCAGGTTCCAATATAATTGATTTTTCTGCATTGTAAGCAAGATTCTTGCCAGTCGTCTGTACATCCTTCATATTAGCTACATCGAAAGAATAAAAAGAAAAGTAATCTTATATATAAAATCTGCACATAATTAAATTATATTTACAATACAAAACTTACAATTCAGGAACTCTTGTGCTTTTGAAGCGTCAATGATACATTTTTCACCCGACGGCGATACATAAAAATATACGTTTTGATCGCACATTTTAATAAATTTTAATTTTACTTGCAATATTTTTATACTTGTCCGCCTTTTTCACAATCACGCAGTCCGCAGCCGGCTGCGCAGCTAATTCTAATCGTCTGCGAATCCACTGCGCATCCATTGCTGAAAGAACGACAATCTGCGCTGCAGTCGACTGCGCAGTCGTGCTAAAAGAACGAATTACTGCAAGAACTGCTGCATCCGATGCCTAAAAGAACGCACCCATCGGGAAAAACTAAACTACGAATAGTGGTCGATTTTAGAAAATTAAATGATTTAACAATAGGAAACTCCTTCCCAATATCAAATATCAACAATATTTTAAATCAATTAGGAGACGCCAAGTATTTTTCCACTCTGGATTTAGCTTCCGGATATGATCAAATATCAATGACGGAACAAGATAAAAATAAAACTGCTTTCTCAACACCAACAGAACACTATGAATTCAATCGAATGCCTTTTGGACTAAAGAACGTACCAGCGACATTTCAAAGATTAATGAATTCCGTATTAGCTGGACTACAAGGAATCAAATGCTTAGCATATTTAGATGATATTGTCATCTATGGTAATAGTATCAAAAATCATAACAAAAGACTTATGTAGTACAAAGAATACAACATTACAACCTAAAACTACAGCCGGATAAATGCGAATTTCTTCGAAAAGAAGTAATATATCTGGGACATATAATTTCAGAAAATGGGATTTTTCCAGATCCAAAGAAATTAGATGCCGTAACAAATTTTCCAGTACCTACAAATATTAAGCATATCCTTCATAGGATTAGCCGGATACTACAGACGATTTATCGAAAATTTTCATCGACCGCAGCAAATGTAAGTCGCAACTACTCATCATTGTAACTAGACCCAAGCGATTCGACGCGTACCGCCCTCCGATAGCGCCCGCGTGTAGAACATTGCCATCTCGAAGATGTCCTGATAGTGTACCGCGTGATTATTAATAAATTCTTTTTGTTATTTCTAAGTACCTTATTTGTCTTTCGTTACCTCCTATTATTCGTCCATCTATCCCGTCGACCCAGTCTAAAATACCCTGTAAAGGCAAGCTTTTACGGAAACTCGACACTCGACCACCTAAAAACTCATCACGGCGGAGCCGCTCCCGTCGTGTGCGTCACAGAACCTTGCAGGGACGTGACTATATGAAACCAAGTTACATGAAGTAGTAAACATAGTTACAGTAAAATAAACACAGTTACAGTTTCAAGTATAAATTAAAAATACACGAACACTAATAAACGATTGTAAAATAAAACTGTACCCGGAAAATAAGTCTGTAAAATAGAAATAAGTATAAACAATTATAATAAACTGTAAACGGGAAAAATAAAAATACATAGGCTAAGAACGAGCACAAAATAGCAAAAATGTCGTAAATACTTCGTTTTCTTTTTAAAAGAGGGGAGGGATGTTGTAGTGTGCCATTGTTCCAATAACACTTTGATCGAATTATAGAAAGTAGAATTACAAACGCTGCAAAAAAGCAAAAGTGCACGCTTTGCAGAACAGCATCGCGTTACACTTTTGATAAATACGTAATCCGTTAAGTAATCACTGGTATCAACCGGTAACCTAATTACGCGGATAATATAAAAGAGTAGAACCAACCACTCAAAGAGAACTTGTCTAGTCGAAGTACGCGCACGATACATAATATCAGTAATTATAAACGCGACTCGCGAACTAAGCGAGCGTCGACTAAATTGTAACCGGAACCCGCGAACGAAGCGAGTGTCAGCCAAACTATAAGCCAGACTATAAGCCAAGGAGAAGAAGAACAACAGTTGAATAAAGTTGTAAGATATTTATTTCAAGATTCCTTCACTCATGGCCACCTTTGTCTTTATCCGTGCCTGTGTACCAGAGCCTAATTATTAACCCCCTGCCCGATCTCACCACAAGCACAACAAAACAAAGAAAAAAACAATTTTATAAACAGAAGTTTTATGCCTTAAATTTACTTCACAGAATTTTCCTAAAAGTTTTGTTGTTAAAATATCTCTATCACTTACAACTTTTTTTAAGAAGATTGAAATGGTTTATTACCAAATTAAATGTTATTTTATATTATTATATAATATTTTATGTCAAATTTAATTTAAAGAAAGTATATTCAATTCAATAAAAAAGTATATTTAGAAAAACTATTTTTCAAAAATTAATTGGAAATATGCACGCCATCCACGCGTACGCGTATCTTTAGTAAATATCATATGAGAGACGTTTCAGGAGAAGTTTTAGTAAATGAAAACATAAATCATCGCTATATATAACAATGTGGCAAACTAGTCCGCTTATCAGTTACATAACAACGAACGTAGTACATATGATGCTTGCATACCTGATGCGCAAGTAAGTCGTATCTTTAGATAGGTACGTTATGATAGCGTTTTTCTGCACTTTGCTCTTGTCTCGCTAGTGCGTTATCATAGTACACGACATAGCAATATGTACAACGTACTATATGTACTTACGTCGAAAAATGGTGTACTGCGATATATAAGTAACACATACAAGTGTTACGCTCACTTTGTCTATACCCCCAGTGGAAAAACCACTATCAAGAGGTTTTAGACAGTTCTAAATGAGTTCTAGATCGCCTTTATGATACAAAGCTCTTGCTTTCAAGGCAAATTCTAGACTCAATCCTCCTTCGAGACAAAATTTTTGTCTTCGAAGCACTTGCAACTTCAGCAGTAGAACGCTGTAGGATGCAATAAAGCAATAAAATTATTTTTAAAAGATACCTTTTATTTCTCGGTACCTCTTATATACACACTATGAGCGGCGAGACTCGAAAGAATCTGCCGACTACATAAAGTATATGTATAATGATTAATGTACAGAGAATGGAATTAAGAATCACAATCCATTTCCATACATATTTGTAAAAAGTAAGAGCACAACAAACGAGAAAATACGCTTACTAACGTTACCTCTGCGAGTTACGAATACAGGTTATATAGTTAAAAATTGCGAGGATACTCCCTCGCATAGTGATATTATTAGAAAATAATTTTCATCTGTACATCGTTTGTTTGCGGATTATATACTTAATACATCAATATTGTTATAAATATAGCGATTATTTATTATTTCATTTACTGTGTTCATTTACTTTAATCTATAATACTCGATTATAATTTAAAAGAGTAGCTGATTTTTGTTTAATTGACACATATGTTATAAATAAATTACACGGACATGTAAATGGCGGGCATATTAAAGATAGATGAAACCAAGTATCCTATGAATATAATTCTCGGATTTCGCAAATTTTGAACTCATTTTCCGCTCTAGTAATCCAATACTGACGATATCATCTAGATATCTGCGAATAAGAGATAATCTACGGATAACGGATATTTTGCTATCTAAGGATATTGGTATAAATATTCTTATTCATTGTTCTCTTGGATAAACACTGTACACTCAATCGTTTAATATCCACGTTATCCGTGGATTAATTTTAGAACATACTTTTTTTATATGGGACATAAAACCATTATTTCTGTATTTAATCATCAAGAATTCAACGTTCTTAAAATATTGTAAGTAAAAGACGCATATTAAAAGGTAATAATATTTTTTACAAATTATAAAACACTACTGTAAAGTAAATTTTAGATCATAAAATTCTGATTTAAAAAATGTTTGTATTTTTCATCATTTGACCACTATTTACTCAAATATAAAAGCTGTTATGTCCGTGGTGACATCAGAACGCAGTTCTTGATAATACTATTTACGTGCGTATCGTGCGCATACCAACGAATGAACAAGTCTCTTGGGTTGGCTGATTCTATTCTTCTATATTATCCGAAATGTTAAGGGGAGTGGGTTGACAACCTTAGTGGTTGCCTGAAGGATTACGTAATTCGGAATATGCAACACGGTGCTTTTCTGCAGCGCGTGCACTTACGTCTTGTTGAAGCAATGCGATGTCGTTGAAGTCGTTTCGACATCGTTGAAGGCGTTTCGACATCGTTATTAAAATAGTTATATTATAACATCCCTCCCTCTTTTTAAGGGGGGAAAACTCTTTACAAAAATCGATTTTTTTTTTCATATATTTCAAAAGTATAATATATTGAGAGTATACTGGCAAATCGAGAAATCGAAATATGAAATATTTACGAAGTTATAGCACATATTCGAGAGCGCGCCGGGACGGCATGTGAGATAGGGAGTCAGGGTCTCGGAGCGCTTGGGGCGGAGCAATCGCTCTTTCACGATACCTCTGTAAGGTAAATGCCCAATGCCCGGACATGTACCTAATTCCGGACACTTTTATTATTTTGAATATTTCTCTAAATATTTCATCTTTCAACGTACACTAAATATAAATATTAAATGTATGTATACCAATATGTATGTATTGTACGTTGAAAGTTGAAATATACATATTTAAACATAAAAATAATAACAATGTCCGGAGATTGGTACATGTCCGGGTATTGGTACATTTACCTTGTAGACCTTTTGTACCTTTAAGGCAAATGTACCAATGCCCGGACATGTACCAATCTCCGGACATTGTTATTATTTTTATATTTGAATATCAATATTTCAACTTTCAACGTACAATACATATATATATATATATATATATATATATATATATATATATATATATATATATATATATATATATATATATATATATTGGTATACATACATATATATTTAATATTTACATTTAGTGTACGTTAAAAGATGAAATATTTAGAGAAATATTCAAAATAATAAGAGTGTCCGGAAATAGATACATGTCCGGGCATTGGGACATTTACCTTAGTTCTGGTAGAGCAGATGTCCTTGAGAATATTTCAAGCGAAAATACCGTTTTATTATATTAGTAGGACATTATATATATCTATATAGCGTGTAACTGTAGGTTTAGCTCGAAAATTTGTCGTATGCGGTTGAATTTTCGAAGTTAAAATGCCAAACTATCCTAAAGGATCGAGAGCTAATATAGCTCGAAGAAGTTCTAAAAAAAGACGTTATCAAGGGAATCAATTCACAGATATATACCATATACCATATATACAGATATATAGAGTTTCGGGCCGAGTACAAGTGACGGTGCAAGTGCAAGTGCAAAAAAACTAAAGACTGTCAGCAGTGAGGATATCCATACAAATCCTTTGCACGGATACAGAACTATTGAGTTTTTCACTGTTTTTACTGCTCTGTCAGACATTTTGATTTGTTCTACATGCAAGCAAAGAATAAGTTTTGGAGAGTCAGGGTAGAGAGGCCTAGGTTTTAAAATTGTCGTTACGTGTCGGTGCGGTAATAAAGAAATAAATTCAGAACCTTTTATTAATACTGGTTACGAAATAAATCGAAGGATAGTGTTAGTCATGAGACTGTTGGGTGTCGCAAGAGAAGGAATAAATGTATTTTGCAATCTTATGGATATGTGCACTGATTTGAATCAAGGTAGTTACACTAAAATCGTCGAGCACATTCATGCAGTTAAGTCGTCATTCGATTTTTTTTCACAAAAAGCTGTTAAAGAAGAGATCGAAAAAAATATTGAGCATGAAAGGGCAGAGAAACATCTCAAAGTCTCTGGTGATGGTACATGGAAAAAGCGTGGATTCAAATCATTGTATGGTATTACAACGCTCATAGGCTACTACTCCGGCAAAGTGATTGATTTAGTCGATTACACTCCTTATCCCAAGTACCAAGACTACTTCTCTCACTCAAGTGTCACATCGCGAACAAATAGTGATACCGCGCCACGCGAGCTACCTCCTTATAAACCAAGGAAGATCGAATTCATCGACCCTCCTCATTACTGATACTGGAATATCCAGCTGTGACGCGGGATCCGCGACTCGCTTTCTATAAAGCCCTGAGACCGGAGTACCTGCACTACTACTACGGAGCACCAATCCTCACCGGATCGCCTCCTCCCACCATACCTGCAGTAGGCTCGGAGATTCTTCTCCTCAAGGCACGGGCCCGTCGAGTAGCTAACAAAGAAATAGACGTCTTAACGTTAGACTGAGGGTAAATCGATAACCAAAATCAGTAACTGAAGTAGTCGATAACTGAAGACGGTAATAGAAGTCGGTAATAGAAGTTTATAACTGAAGTCGATAACCAAAGTCGGTTACTAAAGTCGATAACCAAAATCGGCAATTAAATCAAGTAAATAACTCACCGTAACCCTTGATCACACGTATCCCCAGTTAGAACCACGCGGTTCAGCGACCCGAAAACTAAGCGATTGTTTCCCAACTCAAAGGCCCGAGCATTGTCGAGTCGTCACAGCCGCGGTCGAACGGGGACGTAACAAATTTTTGACAGCGGTGGGATCCATTAAGGGTCACGCGACATTGTCATGTCTACTAATCCAAGGTTGCCCACCGGGAAGGGGGCTACAACACGTAGCGCTGCCGCCGCAATGGAAAGCAGACAATATAACCAGGAAGAAATCGAAACTTTGCATGAACATTTAAGACAGAAGGAAGCCCAACTGGCCGAACAAGGCCAAGCTATAAATCAATGCGAAGGAGAATGTAATCGACGCGAACACGAACGGGTGTATATCAGTTGGACACGGGGCAATTGGACACAGTCCAATCACAAATCGCTGTTCCAAGGGACCCTACAAATGTCTCTAATCACACGGTGCTGTGATTGGCTGTGTTCAAATGCACCGTGTCCAAGTGCACCGCTCCCAACACGAATTCCGTTCGCATCGAACAAAACCTCCAATCGCGAACTAAAGATATCGCATAGAACGAAACTGCCACGCGAATCAAGTTCCGACCGTTTAATGCAACAAATCCAAGAACTAACCCAGCAAGTAGAATCTCTACGTCGCGAAGCTAATTGTAGGAAACCCGATATCATGCCATCTCCTATAAACGTGAACGGGCGAGATCATCCGTGCGATGATTTCCGATATACGCGCGTTTCCCTTCGAGATGCTTTGGAGGTGGTACCTGTATTCGACGACTCCAATGTGCTCCTTCCAAAATTCTTAGAAGCATGTCAGCGTGCCAAGGAAACTGTGCCCCCCTCGGCCAAATAGGATCTTATTCGCCTGTAAATTCATAAACTACGAGGACCCGCCTATCAAGCCGTCGCCAGGGAAACATGCGACTCTGTTGCACGATCACTGTTGTTAGTCGATCTATTAACACTAGGCTTAGGAATACCTAAGTCCGCCGACGAATTGCGCGCCGAACTGATTCGTTCAGGACCGCGTGAAACGTTTTTGAAATACGTAACGCGCGTAAAGGATCTCAGAGCTGCAATTTTAGATACGGAACGAGGAGAAATAGATACGTCTCAACAATGGGAACCGCGGAGATCAAATATATGGGTAACCCCATTACACTTCACGTTGTCGTGCCCGTGTTGCCGGGACACGAAGAAAAAGTTCAAGATCGGTGATGCGGGCGCGGCAGGGTGTGTGGCGGTGGGTGCGAGATGTATTCAATGATAGTACTACGTTGAGTAGTTTTAAATATAAAAGGTTTATTTGATAAGTACACTTGTACGTGTTTAATTACTACTCCCGTTCTTATTAGTAATGTGCGAACCGCGCGTTGGTCGCGTATGTCGAGGCGAGAGACCGAGGTGTTGAGTCTTCCTCGGGCGGTCTTCTCCGCTCTTTTATAATATTGTTTTAGACTTGTCGGAGGGGGTGCCTGGCAACAAGCACATTACCATATTTGGTAATGGTGTAATGCGTTTTAAATTGAGGTCCTAAATGCAGAATGTGCAAGGTGGTGCTTATCGTCGCACTTGCACATCCGCTTCCTTGTTGTGGCGCAATCGAAACAATTCCTCGAGAAGTGTTTCGAAAGCGCTGGTATTATTCGCGATTATAACAACGTCGACCAGTTTCCTATCTCCCAAGAAAGGATCTTAGGATACGACTTCTTGCAACGAGCCGAATCGCTAAAGTTTAACAGTCAAACCTTGAAATGGCAAGGGGAGAGATACCTTCCACACGACTCTATCAAATTACTATTCCGGCTCGTACGGCTATTCCGGCATACCATCTGCGCACTGGCGCAGGTATTCGTAACCAGGACACTAAGGAAGGTTACGTCCCGCGAATAAATCTCGGCGAGGATATCTACTTAGGAGAAGTTCTTGTCACGAATCGAGACGGAAACGCCTATACCGGGATACTCAATAGCACAAAATTCGATGTCAAAATTTCAATTCCTGCCATAGGGATAGAAGAATACGAAATACTTCTGCGATCGGTAACCGCATTAGACGCAACGCGAACAAGAACACCAGTGAACCACCAGCCTCCCTTAGGGAAGGGCGAAGTGGCACACCCGACTCAGACCTCTCCGGTCAGTACGATACAATCCGAGAAACATAGAGACAGAACGAAAGAGATCAGAGGTTCTTTACGACTCCAATACCTCAACAAGGAAGAGACCGACCACGTACTTTCGCTTATCAAAAAATACCCTAAGCTCTTCCGGTTGCCAGACGACCAACTTCAGTGCACGAATTTGCACGAAAAAGTGCGGATATATAAAATACCAACCACAGACGTTATGGCCATCCATACGAAACAATATCGCTATTCCCCGATTCACAAGGAAGAAATCGAAAAACAAGTTAGAGATCTATTAAAGAACAATATGATTAAACCATCAGTTTCACTTTACAACTCCCCCTTGTGGATCGTTCTAAAAAAGCAGACTCGAAAGGAAACAAGAGATGGAGCATGGTCGTGGATTTCCGTGCACTGAATGAAAAAACGGTTGGAAACGCGTATCCTTTCCCCAATATCACTGAAATCCTGGACCAGCTCGAGGGCGCTAAGTACTTTAGCGTCTTCGACCTCGCATCAGGGTTCTATCAAATCAGGATGGACGAGAGTGACGCGCAGAAAACAGCGTTCTCTTCGCCACATAGCCACTACGAGTTCAAGCGCATTCGATCTAAAAAACACCCCTGCAACCTTCCAACGCTTGACGGATCAAGTCCTATCCAGGCTTGCAAGGCAATGAGCTCTTCGTATACCTAGACGACATAGTGCTTCACGCGAATTCACTCTCCGAACACGCCAAGAAGTTTAACAAACTCGCGGATAGGTTGAGAAAAACAAACTTACAATTGCAACCGGACAAATGTGAGTTTCTGCGGAAAGAAGTCGCGTATCTAGGCCACATAATAGGAAGCGACGGCGTTAGGCCCAACCCCGACAAAATACGCACAGTAAAAGATTTCCTAGCTCCTCGCAACGCGGAAAATATTAAACAGTTCCTATGTCTAGCCGGTTATTACCGCCGCTTTATATTGGAATTCGCTAAGATAGCTCGCCCGCTTACGGAATTCTTAAAAAAGGATGCCGCATTCAATTAGTCCGAGGCGCAGTCGGAAGTGTTTG